CGAGCTAAGATTAAAAGAGAGAAGTGGGCGTAACACTAGGTATATAGCTAGGTTTGATTCGGTTGAAGTGAGTCAGAAAGGACGACATGAGGGAGAAGGGGGGAGAGAATAGAGTTAATTTTAGGTTTACAAATGGCAAAAGTATAGATTGGCATGTTATGGCATGCAATTGTACTCATCATCATCACCTCCAAAACCTCTGCATGCATGCAAGAAAAAAATTGCCTATACTATATATATCTCTCTCTATGTAATTTACCAAACGATTAAAAATCAAAGCACAAGACAAAATTGATCATTTCCTTTCATTCCAGGGTTTCCCCAGGGTTCATCAACCGATGAAATTCTTAAAACAAAAACAAAAAAAATTAAAAGGACAAATTATGAGTTAAAAAAAGAATATTGTTGAAGGTCCACAGCCAGCAGAGGGTTACATTGCATGCATGCGAAATTGATTTCTCCCGCAGGGGCAAATTCTCATTTTTCTTGATACTATTTTGGGTCGGGGCAATTTTGTCCCTAATCGAATTCCCCAGAGATTGGAATTTTTATTATTAGATTATTTTGTTAGTTCTGGCTTTTGGAATATATATACTACTATACTGTATATAGTCATACATTTTTTGGGTCCACAATTTATGAAATCAGTGGAACGTTGCTTTTTTTTAAGGGAACCTGTGAAGATGATCGAGAAATTTTGTCTCATAAAAAACGTACGTACTGAAAGCATCGAGAAATTTTTAAGCATATTATGATCAGATTGATCGATGAACATGCATATGGTTTCCATTGTCCTTATTACCTTCTGTCCCCCATACTTGCAGACCACACAAAATAAAAATTCAACTGTACCTTTCACATTCCATTACAGCTGCTGCCTGAGTCCCTGACCATGGAAATAAAATTTAAAAAAAGGAAATATTGAATTTCAACAATTCCAACACCAACCCAGAATGTGTAATTAATTTTATTTGAGTATTTCAATACTGAGAGATTGTTTAAGAATAGTAACCCGAAATTTATTTGTGCATGTGATGTATCGATTCTCAACTATTATACTAAAATTAAGAAGTCCCTGGACTTCATTAAATCATTTTAATTTAACCCATTATTAGGACAAAACCAAAAATATTATTAGTGATGACTTTTTCAACTCCATCTACAATGAACAAAACGATTAGGCGGCTTTGAGAAAGAGAGGTGGTATTTTTCTTGAAATAAACTCATGGTATATCTCTTTAGAACGGATACTGAGTTTCCCGTTTTTTGAACGTGAGATAAGGATGCAGCATAAAACTATTTATATAAATGTAGGACGCTGAATAAGAAACTTATAAGAAAAATGTGGAATGTGAATTGTAGTAGGAACGGTACAATTTATAATTGTAATTTGGACTATTTTTTGAAGATATATGTAGGGAATAGTTAATTACTTTTAGATGCATCATGAGATTGAACTTGATTATATCTAGCTAATTTCATTGTGGCTCCAAATATTAAAGTTTCTAAGGGTTGATATTTATCATAATTATAAGAAATTTGATAACTTTATTATTGGATCCTCGTATTACTTTCTTCTTATATTTATGTTGCACAATCCAATAACTTTATATAAATTTTGTCATCTCTGCCAAGGGTTATATATATTTCAAAGTTATATATTTTATGAAATAAGGGTTCACTTTTTTGGTGGTTAGAGCCTATTTGTTTAAATTTTTATAGTTAAAAAATTAATAAAAATTGGTTAAATTTATTAAAATTATAATATTGATGCAAAATAAAACAGCAATGCGGAAATTCTATACAGTGAAAATATGTGTTTATGTGTTTGTATTAGCATGAGATATATGATTTATAAGAAATAATTGATATGTGTATTAGAAAAGTGCCACACGATCCCAGTCGATGCGGATCATTGAATTGGATTGAGAAAAAACACTGAAAATATTCACATGTAGAAAAAGAAAGATCAAATAACAAACCTAATCATGTACATAGAAAAAAAAAATGGTGTTTAGTTTTTTTTTTTTTTGGAAAAGTTAATATATTTCACATTTCTATATTTTTTTTTTTGTAAATTTTTCCCCAAAAAAATAAATACTACTAAAACGAAACAAACAATATATTCCAAAATATCCCAAATGCATCATTGGCATTATTAGGAGGAGACAAGCGAAGAATGATCTTCAAGAATGTCCAACTTTGATTTTGGACCGGCTTTTGAAAGGCCATTATTTATGTGAATGGCCCATTTTTGATTCCTTGAAAGTCCAGTTAATTTAAAGTTAAAGATTTTAGTATATGTCAAGGTGCCTCACTAATTTCGGCCTTGAGTCTGTCCAAAGTCCAAGCTACTTTCCGTCTCCTCAAGTTGAAAATGGCTCAATATAGCAGTCAATAGGTGAGCTTGCAAGAGATTTTACTATGCACAGTTCTTAAATGATTCCAAAGGTTAAAAAACAGAAAGTGAATTAAAGAAATTAAGGGTTTACTTGTACAATTTGTGTAATTTCAGTAAGATCTTAACCATTTTATTTTACATTTTTTGATTGGGAAAAGGGTACTCCATATTTTCGTTATTATTTTCTCCACGATAGGTGCTTATTGTATGTGGCTTAGTATGTTTAGTGTCTACAGCATGAGATTTATCTCATCATGGATGAATATAAATCCTAGAACTCTTGACAAATTATATTTCGTTTTATTACTTCCTCTGTCTAAATAAATGGTCGATATTGAGTTTGACAATTGAATCATTTTTAAAATAAATTTTAAAATTGAATGTAAACTTATTTCTTTTTTTCTTTTTTTTTTGATATCCTGCAGCTAGAGGAGTGACATGGAGAGATTGCTGTAGGCTTCATTTAGATGTAAATTATTAAAAAAAAAAACAAAATTTCTCTTAAGATCTTGCTTTTTCTTTATGGGAACTGAGAATATTTGTTGGTGAATTTCAAAATTAATGATACCTTCTTTTGATTCGCGTGCAGTAAACAGAGTTTTTTATAATTATTATTGGTTTTTGTACATAAAACTGTTTTTTACAGTGTACAACTTAATTTGTTTATGGGGACGTTGTCTATGATATTCACATTGCCTAATTCACCTCATAAAATAATAGTTTTAGAAAGAAATGTTTTTGGATTAATTTTGTCTAGTTCCTATTTTCTCAGCGTGCCTTTTGTTATAATTTTTTTTCCCCTATCTTTCTACTGTTGGGTTCATGCAAGTAATAAAAGATTTAGTCACTGCTGTCAATAGCGAAAAAATAAAAAACAAATAAATCTTGCATTTCGACACGGAGGATGGCTTTTGGTTATATCTGCACAATTACGAGTGCATTTTGAGTTAGCTTGTTACAGTTGAATATTGCTTCATGGACAGAATATTGCATTAGATTTCCCGCACATTGTTCTTGCGCAAAATGGAATCTCGTGAATATAACCTTCAAAAGAAAATAAAAGAACCTTGATTGTGAAATAAAAATAAAATAAAAACTGTGGAGGCAGAGGTTGTGTTTACTAAGATCAGATTTCATAGTTTGCATGTGGAAAGGGTTGTTAGTGTATTATATATTAGGGTTAATGTAAGGGTATTGTTGTAATCCTATTGTAATCATGTACACTATATATATATATATATATATATATATTAAATCAATACAGAATGACCCACGAGTTTCACACATTTTCAAGGGTTACGCAATTTTTATTCCATTTTTGCTGTAACAAGATAATGTAAAATACAGTATTAGTTTTAGTAGTCACAGTATTAGAATGGTTCTGAAAATTAATCAACCACTATTTCCAAATCCTACTTTTGAGCATCCAAACAAAAGTGTTGTTACAGTATAATTATTGATCAATTCTGTAATCCTTCCATACATGGAATGTAGCATTGAATTTCAACATTAGGACCTTCAATTCAATGTCGTACAATTTTGACTTCAATTTAAAAAAAAAAAACTTACCAAAATGTAAAAAAGAAAAGACGTCAAATCAATAGTGTCAGTCAGACCCTAGATGTTATCTAATTTTATTTTGATCTATGATTTTTCAACCTTCTAGTTATTTAACATTACAAATGCAATACACTACTTTATGAAGTTTCATGGCGTTTTGGGTTGCAGACTCGTAGTTCAGTTTCGTTATTTTCTTTTCTCCTGGTACCTATATATATTGGAGTTTAGTAGTTTGTTTCCATAGAATTTTGCAAGAGAACAATCCATAGATTAGTACCAAAATGCACATATAAACAAAGTTCTGATGGGTTAATTATTAAGTGATCATCCACTACGTAACATCAAACTTAATTAGTGTTGTTAAAAATTTATTTGCTCATACGATTCGATAAAGTGTAGGAAACCAACCGAAATTGATAATTTCATAGCACGATATGAAATTTTGAGTACAAAGTTGAGATCTGACAAGTGTTATGTATAAATTTTTCGAACTAAGAATAGATTATCGTAAGTTCAAATAAAAGAATTTAAGATATGATCGAGAGGTAAAGATAATACAATCAATTGTATAAATTCATTTATATTAGACCTGTACAGGTTGCTTTCTAACCATTGACTTTAGTAAAGTTTACTGAGAGTTTTATAACGCGTTTAAAGGATACTAGAAATTTAAATTGAAAACAGTCTTTAATGATTGTAATTCAATCAAGTCTTGCATATGGTCCAATATATTTTAAGTGATCATCCACTGCGTAACATCAAACTCAATTAGTGTAGTTAAAAATTGATTTGCTCATACAATTGATAACGTGTAGGAAACCAACCTAAATTGATCATTTCATTGCACGATATGAAACTTTAAGTACAATGTTGCGGACCTGATCAATATCAAGTTTTAACTTTTTGAACTAAGAATAGATTGATTGTAAATTCAAATAAAAGAATTTTAGCATTTGATAGAATGTGTAAGGCGAGAGATAAAGATGAATATAAGAGAATATATTCAACCATCAATTCAAATTCAAATTCAAATTTTTAGAGATGCTGGCAAACATTTTCTTTCAGTTTTCTTACTTAGGAAATTTAAAAGACGTAATTAAGCAGAAGAGTATTTAATGAGTCACTGAAGATATTATGCTGTTTAGTGTCTGCAACTTTCCTTTTAAAACTGCTGCACTATACTTTACACTTGTTATATGTTAGTTTGGAGAATAAATGAGATATCGTCCTGATCATTACTTGGTCAAATCTTTTTTAGCTCAAGATACTATTTTATTTGCTTTTAAATATTTAAATATATTTTATTAGGTTGATTGCTTCACAAAAATATTTTAATCAAAGAACTTCATTTTGAATTTTTCTCACTAATTGAAGATTAGGGTGTTATATATTAAAGGATATATACATATATGTGTATATTTCTTCTAAAATATTTCATTAATTTTTCTTTATAATACCATCAAAATTTTCCAACCCAAATATCTTCAATATGAAAACCGTGCTCATATTTTATCCATAATGATCTGCTATAGACAATTTTGTCTAAAGGAATTGTTTTACTCCCTCCGTCCCATAATTATTGTCCTGTTTGAGTTTTTCATTTTTAGTTATTTTTATTTATTTATTTATTTTTTTTGTTTTAAGGAAAAAAAAGAGAACTTTCTGAGAGAGCAGGGCGAAATTTGTCATCTCATTCTTCCCAATCCGCCCACGGAGAACTGATCTGTGTGTCATAGGGGGAATATAAAGGAGATCTAGAAACGAAAAAGGCCTTTTTATTCAAATATATCAATATTTAAGCCCTCAAAGACAAAAACGATCATTAGCAACGATCTTTGAATTTCCTAATATACCCCCAAAACTCGTTGAACCTGACAAAAACTACAGGCACTACACCGTACCGTGAAGTGGTAATTAGGACATTTCAAAGAGATTGATCTGGAACTACGGGGTATAAAATCAATTTAGAAAGACAATAAGGGCTTGATGAGTAAAGTTATCTCGGGAGCTATAAATCGGAAAAAATGATATCTTCTGCAACAGCAACTCAAATCCACCAACGGAAGTGAAGCTTTCAGAAATAATAATGGAATTTTTAGACATCTGAAAGACAAACCCAGAAATAAAAAGAAGAATAAAGAACCCCAACTGTCCAAAAAGGGGTAGGAAAAGCGGGGGGGAATAGTCTCAAAGTTTGGTTTTTTTTTTTTTTTTCCTCTTTGGGCCTTTAAGGTAAGCAGTATTCCTTCATAAATTTGACCCACCATTAATTATTTTTGTAGTTGTAGTCTCTGCTGTTATCTGTGCATAATCTTTTACCAGTTATATGTTTTCCCCTTGAATTTCTTGTAGTTTGTAGTAAGTTCTTGGCGAAAGTACCAAGTTTTTGTTCATTTCTTTGAGGATCTTGAATTGTTTAGATTGTCAATATATTCTTATTTTTTTCTGGTGGGTTTTGTTTGGTGTTGTTTACAGGCCAATAAAAAAGCAGAAGTAGGGACATTTTTTTTTCTTCTTTTTCTTGTATATAAGAAGTAGGAAGAAGCTGATAGGGATTGAAGGCACAGCATTGGACTGTTGGCTGAGGCAAGATGTCTCAGAACAACTGGGAAGCCGACAAGATGTAAGCCCCTTTTAATTCCTTTGCATGCTTGTTGATTTATCCTCTTTCTTGAAGCGCTCTGTCAGGTTTAGATGTGTTCTATGTTGTTTAATTTATATGTAGACATTGGATAATTTTTATGTTAGATTTAGGTTTTGGGGGTTTCTCTTCTTCTTCCTTTTTTTTTTTTTTTGTTTTTTCTGGGTGGACTCGGGGAGTATTTTCTGCTTTAAGTTTTGGCCTTTATTAACCATGCCTATTTTTATGTTCTTCCACTCATTGTTGGCGGTTGAGGTATTTTATGTTCTTTTTTGCTGTGAGAATCTTCTCTTGATAAGTGGAATTTTATGGGTTTTTGTTTTGAAGGCTGCCCACCCATAAATTTTCTAACTTGTTACCGTTTTAGGGTTCTAATAATTTAGGTACCAGTAATGGCAACTTGGTGAGAGTAAAAAAAATTTGAGGTTTTTGATTTGGCTTTGTAACTTAAGGCAAATCTTTGCATGTTCCTTGCGACATTTTAGTTTCCTTACTCGAATCAGGTATTCCTTTAAACCTTTGAGGCTTTTAGTGTAAAAATGTGATGTAGTTTGGTATGGGTTCTACTGAGACATGTAGGTGGTTGTTGTTTATGCCTTTTGTTTGTGCACTTGCCTAAGTGGGCCCCCTCGGAATTATATAATTATATATGCTGTCATGTGCACTATTTTTTGATTTACCGGTGATAAAGTTTTGTTTACAGTTTCCGGTCAATCACAGTGCATATTATTCGTGAACTTTATCACTTTCCATCTGAAGTTTGATTTCCTACTCACGTTTGTTTGTATCAATTTGGTGAACAGGCTGGATGTTTACATCCATGATTACTTGGTGAAAAGAGACCTGAAGGCCACGGCACAGGCATTCCAAGCGGAAGGAAAAGTATCATCCGATCCAGTTGGTGAGTTAATATTACTGTATAGTTTTAGTGTAAAGTACTTTTCTCATAGGACAGGAACTATTTTTTACTTGTTGCTTCTAATATTCTGGTTGTTTCTTTAGCTATTGATGCTCCTGGAGGTTTCCTATTCGAGTGGTGGTCTGTCTTCTGGGATATATTTATTGCAAGGAATAATGAGAAGCATTCGGAGGTTGCTGCATCATACATTGAGGTTTGTCGATTTATATTTGCTATGTGCTTACCCTTAAGATACTGATATAATAAGTAGAAGTAATGCTTCTTTATTACGTATGCCACATAAGATGATATGATAAACTTGATAATAAATGCACACGGAGCCTTCCTAGTTTATTTATTTTCAAACGCATTTCATGTGGAGCTTGTATTATGTATGATGCAAGTTTCCTTTTTTGGCATTCTCCCAGTGCAAGGAATGACCAAGTTAGCCATGTTACCTTCGGTACCTGGAAAGTTTAGTTCTGCTGTTTATGGACTTAATGCATAAAAGTCTTGCTAAGTTATACGTGCACTGACTAGTACTATTAAAGGATTGCGGTTAACCAAAAAAAGGGAAAAAAGATTGCTGTTCAATATTATGACCTGTAATGTTGTCTTATTTTACTATACACATTTTCTCTATCAAAATGTATTTTTTGTTGCTATCTAGGCTGGTACAATCTTTGCAAGCTAATGGAACAAAATATTTGGTGTTATTGTCTTTTCCTATTTAGTCTAGTTGTGTTTATAAATATTAGGTATGTCTGACTGTGTAAATGAGGTTTTTTTGCCATTTTTTGCCTTACATCATGTATCTGCATTAGTGTGTCTTTCTTAGAGAGTTTGAATGCCTTTTCCATCTTTTGCTGCCAAAAATCCTTCATGAAATGAACATTGGAAAGGTTCATAGAAATTTCTGAACCCACAGTAATTAGTTTTCGTCATCGGCAGAAAGGTTATCCAGCTTATTGCCATCATTTTGAGCTTCACTTAGTTTGAATGAGTACAATAAAGTTAACTAAGGACTTATCTGGTAGGGACCAGCAACACATTTTTGTGTTAGCAAGTCAGTATGGGTTTGTACCAGCTGCTGTCGTGGCCTAATGCAACATCACCTTGTTTTTTCATATTAGGCTTTGCTAATGTTTTTGTTGCTGGTTCTGAATGTGAACCCGGCAACTGCTTTTATATTTCTTCACTTGTTCTTTGTATATTGGCATGATTCTTCCTATAAAATCTTCCGTAGCCTGTAGTTGAAAGCTTTAAAATTTATGTGTTTCTCACTAACTGAATATGTTCGGGGGTTTAGTGTTGGTCAAAAAGGTCACTGCTGTCATTAACTGGAAATTGACTACTTGGCAAAATAGAGATTCTAGCTCTTCTACAAAATTGAGATTGAGAGAATCTGAACTTAAACCTCAAAATTGTTATCCTCATTAAATACAATCTTGATTGTGATTAAATGAACTTTAATGCTCAGAGGATGATGGGGAAGTCTTTTTGACTTAGTTCTTTGCATAGAATGAAACCAGAAGACCTCACAACTTTTCCATTGTGTGGTGGATTCCCAATGTGGTTCTTCTTTGCAAAACACTGAAATTAAGGAATCCAATTGAAATTTGAGTGATCTCTTTGAGATGTATACCCATTAATAGTCTGCTGTTTGTGCTTTTGGGAAATTTTGTTTGTTTGTTTCTTTGTTGTTGTTTTTTTTTTTAAAATTTTTATTTTTAATATAAATTTTGCACCCTGGAGGACCTTGGGAAGAAAAAAGGGGGAGATTTGTGGTTCTTTGGGTCCGTGATTTGGTGAAGCTTTCTATCTCACACAGTGAAACCCTTCATCTGATTCTTTCATTTGTCTTCTTCATGACTGAGAGGCTGTTGCCTAATTTTGGAAAAGATCGACCTTACAATTGGCACGGGGGGTTAGGCTCCATCTAAAATTGGGTTCAGTCACCTGCTTCCTTCCTGTTAAATTTTGGCAATCTGTGTCCCTCCGATGTCGAAAATTAAATTGAGTTATTTTTTCCTGCGATGTCTCTGTTTTTCTTTTATTGACAATTATCTTTTGTTTTTGTTTTCTTGTCATTTGGTACAATTTTGGCTTAATATGCTTAATGGAGAAGTTTTGATTGTAATAATTGTAACTGGTAAGTGATGTATTTCTTCTTTTATGCAGACTCAATTGATTAAGGCAAGAGAGCAGCAGCAGCAACAACAGCAGCAACAGTCCCAGCAACCGCAGCATTCACAACAACAGCACCTGCAGATGCAGCAACTCTTATTGCAGAGACAGGCTCAGCAGCAACAGCAACAGCAACAGCAACAGCAGCAACAACAGCAGCAACAACAGCAGCAGCAGCAGCATCAGCAGCAGCATCAGCAACAGCAGCAGCAGCAGCAGCAGCAACAACAACAGCAGCAACAGCAGCAACAGCAGCAGCAGCGAAGAGATAGCAACCACCTTCTGAATGGCACTTCTAATGGAATTGTTGGGAACGATCCCCTGATGAGACAGAATCCTGGTACTGCCAATGCATTAGCTACAAAAATGTACGAGGAACAATTGAAAGTTCCCATGCAGAGGGATTCTTTAGATGATGCAGCGATGAAGGTATGAATTGACTACAGGTTTTGATGGAAATAGGCACTTCTTAAGCCTTTCTGATGTATAACCAAAATACTAATATTTTAAGAAACATGCACTTCTGACTTTCATACGGGGTCTGCTCTAGTTAGCTGCTGGTGGTGCCACCTTTTAGCTTTTCTGATTTAACTTATTCAATTGAAAAGTGTGCCCTCATCTTAATAATCATAAGCTTCTCCTAAAGCTGCAGCAAAGCAATTTTTGGTAGTAGGGATTTATCTTCAATTTTCTTACTGCAGCAAAGGTTTAGTGAGAACGTAAGCCAACTATTGGATCCAAATCATGCATCAATTCTTAAATCAGCTGCTGCCGCCGCGGGCCAGCCCTCAGGGTACTTCCCTAAAAAATTATAGTTTTCATTTTTTTAAACTTGATTTTCTCTGTATGCAGATGTAGAGTTGATGTTTTTCTGTCTTTAGTCTGCTATACCAAGAAAATTTCCTTACTAGGCTGCTGATATCAATGAAAACCCTCACTGTTACTTTGGATTTTCTCTTCTAGGCAAGTTTTGCACGGTACAGCTGGCAGCATGTCTCCACAAGTACAAGCTCGGAACCCTCAAATTCCTGGGTCTACAACGGTAGGATCTACTGCCGTCCCATCTTCTTATCCACCCCTGCCACTTCAATAACAAATGAAATCAATTTCTTTTTCTTGTTTTGGTTGAGAATTTCTGTTTATTTAATTTTTTCTTTTTTATTTTAAACCAAAATGAAATGATGGCTCTGCCACGAACAGGACATAAAGACAGAGATGAATCAGATGTTGAACCCTAGGGTTGCGGGCCCTGAGGGATCACTTATTGGGATTCCAGGTATGCATAAAATTATTTGAGATTTTCTGCTTGGATTTAGCTTTTTCATTGATAATTTTGAAATGTAATTCTGCCCAACTGTGGGATTCCAATAATGCACGGGTTGGACTGCTAACCATGTTGTTATTATGTTTTTCCCCTTTTTACTTGCTTGACTTCTTTGCTGACAAAATTCTTAATCTCATAGGTTCAAACCAGGGTGGAAACAATCTGACATTGAAAGGATGGCCGCTTACCGTAAGTATTTTGTTATTCTTTACTTGATATTCATCTTAAGGTTACCCATGGTTCTTTTCTTGATTCATTCATCTTAAGGTTACCCTTTATTCATTCAAGCTTACATCTAGATACTTGCATCTTTTACAAGACCAGGTCCGATGTTTCCCTTTGTCATACTGCTTCTAATTGGTCCTCTACCGCCCCAAGTAAAACATCATGTTCTGATTACTTCTATCTGAAAGTTTACACACAAGGATGAAATTTCGTCGGAACATAAGTTATCATACACAACAAAGGCTTACTTTTATGCTCCTTTTGATCAATTTATGATCTGGTTTGAATTCAGAACATACTGGCTGTTCAGACCTTGCTTAATTTTAAGGCATTCAATAAGTTGTCAAATCCCTTTGATTGTTTAAGTGTTTTCTCCATCATATTGTTATAGACATTTAAGTTTTAGTTTCCAGCTAAGCTTAATCGATCGTGTGTTTAACTAAATAAGTTCAAAAGCTGATGAAAGCGGAGCTGACCCTGTGTTCTCAGTAATATGCTGTTATGCTTCAATAATTGGGCTTAGTCTTAGGTTCTGTTGTGCTTAGTATGCATGTGATTGAAATTGGGGACTTCATGACATGTTTACTTACTCTCTTATTCTGTCATAAATTTCTGAACTCATTTTCGTTTAAATCAGCTTCGGTCTGGGCTGCTACAGCAACAAAAATCATTTATGCAAGGCCCACAACCCTTTCATCAACTGCAAATGTTGCCACAGCACCAGCAACAGCTTTTACTTGCGCAACAAAATTTAACTTCACCATCTGCTGGGGATGTGGAAAGCAGAAGGCTCAGAATGCTTCTTAGTAACAGAAATATGACCATGGGTAAGGATGGCCTTTCAAACTCAGTTGGTGATGTGGTTCCAAATATCGGTTCACCTTTGCAAGCTGGTTGTCCCGTTTTGCCTCGCACAGATCCAGAGATGTTAATGAAGGTCTTCTTTCGTCTCCAACTATATTTTGTCCTGCGTTAGCGTTTTCTTCTGGAATCTACTCTTTTGTCAAAGACTAATATTTGAATGCGGTCAGCTGTTTGTGCTTTACAAAACTTTCAAGTAGTGAATCTCTCTTTTAAGAGAATGGACCACGAATTCAACTTATTTCCTCAATGACCATCTTCTTTGTCTAATTGCCACTCTCGGATTTTGATTTAGTTGAAACATCACTGCAAGTTGCAGCGTGGAGTTCTTTGTATAATGTTTGACTGCTTTTGATAGTATCTTTCTCCTTGATTGTTTATCCATTTCCATTCATTTATGTTTCCTTTTTAATGTGTATTTCATCCAACATTGAAGGAAGGTTTTGTTGATAAGAGAAATGCAATGAACATGGTGTACCTTTTGTGGATTATATGACTTATAGATCTGGACAAACATAAATCCTACACTTTAAGATTTAATTTTTGGGTCATTCTCATGTTGTGGATATTTAATTAATGTTTTGCATTGTGTTTTGTGTAGCTGAAAATGGCCCAATTCCAGCAGCAGCAGCAACAGCAGCAACAGAGCAACAGTCCACAACATCAGCAACAGTTGCAGCAGCATGCGCTGTCTGGTCAGCAACCTCAGACATCTAATCACAGTGTTCAGACAGATAAAATAATGGGATCTGGCACTGTTAATGGAGATGGCTGCATGTCAAATTCATTCCGTTCAAATGATCAGGTCTCTTCATTTTCTTGTAATCTTGTGCATGCACTATTCAAATGACTTGTACAATTATGAAATGTCTGTCCATGAAGTGTAAAAAATGCATGTTCTGGTAACATCTTGTGCATGACCGTACAAATATGAGATTGTTGATTATTAGCTGGTAGAACTTTAAGGTTCTTGCTTGATCAGTCACGATTGATGCTACCTTTGCCTGATATATGTGCTCTGTAGATATGCCGATAATGTATGTCGTGTAGTTAATTATTCACCTCCGAGTGCATACATATGGAATAGAAATGTTAACTAGGAATTTACTAACCTGCGGCTGATAGACATGGATTCCAACCTGACTGGTTAATTTTGTGTGGTCTAAATGCTACTTATTGTGTTGTAGGTGAGAAAATCCTCATTGAGCTTTAATCTAATGTTGATTGTACTCATCGTGACTGGAAATTATAAATTACTAGCAGACTAGCATATGATTGCATCCATGATGTCTATTCTGCCTAAAGTTTCCTTACGAACACCTTTTTTTAAATTGTTAATCAGTATATAGGTCATGGATTTCTGTTAATGTCATGAAGCTACCGGGGTCTTGAAAAACATTTTCTTGATTTGCTGTTTTGATTTCTAAATGAAACTTTGTGCATTTGAAGGCTTCTAAAAGCCAGACAGGCAGAAAGAGAAAACAGCCCGTTTCGTCTTCAGGCCCTGCCAATAGTTCGGGTACTGCAAACACTGCTGGGCCTTCCCCAAGTTCGGCTCCCTCTACGCCGTCAACTCATACACCTGGAGATGTCATCTCGATGCCTGCTATGCCGCATAATAACAGTTCCTCAAAGCCATTGATGATGTTTGGAACTGATAACACTGGCACTCTCACTTCACCCTCAAATCAATTGGTAATTCAAATCTTTCCCTGTCACCTCTTGGTGCAACTAAAATAGTGTGGGGAAGTTCACGTTCTTATTTAATTTTCGCAGTGGGATGACAAGGATCTTGTGCAGGCTGAAATGGATCGTTTTGTGGATGATGGATCTCTCGATGACAATGTTGAGTCTTTTTTATCTCATGATGATGCAGATCCCCGTGATCCTGTTGGCCGTGGTATGGATGTTAGCAAAGGTGGGGCCCCTTAACCTGATGTGTTTTAGTTTGTTGAAGTTTCATCCCTTGCCATTTTCTTGTATGATAAATTTTTCCTGAACACGTTCGTTATTGATCCCCAAGTTCCTTAATACTTCGGTTTCAAATCTCCTTAGCAAATTATTAGATTGTATTATTTACCAATCCTTTTTTTCGCCTGGGAACCTGATGAACCTGAAAAGCATTAAAGTTTTCTTTACTTTATAACCAGCTTTTCAAATGCTGTACAGCATTTGAAATGAAGACTAGTCACAATGCTGTACAACTTTTCAAATGCTGTACAGTAGGTATACATGTTCCGTTGTTGAAATGAAGACTAGTCACAATACTTGAAGTAGAGCATTGATCTCTGGCTACGTTCTTGTTTGCGAGATATTTAACTCCTAGATAAGTGAACCCTGCACACTTTATGCGCACTTGATCATCCTTACCAAATGCTTGGATTTTTTATTTATTTTTTTGATATTATTATTATTTTTTAAAATATATTTTGGTAGAAAAAATGCTTGGATTTTTGGGTATTTTAGAAAATGAAGGACATGTTTTCTTGGTTTGATGATACCGTGCCTTATTGATAGGAAATAGGAAAGGGATCAGTAATATTTTCTTCTGGTTACAACCATGCACCAGATTAACAATTTTGATATTTAAGGAGTCCGTCCATAAATACATTTAAAAGTCATTACTTCAGACTACTTTGCCCGTTTATAACTGCCTAAAATGGTAAAGCAATGGAAACCCAGTTCCTCCAAAATAAAATAATGGAGAGAGATGAGGAATTTTTAAATGACAAAACACATGATGAAAATAGACACAATGCTAGAGTTGCCTACCAGATCTTAAGCAGAAGCAACAGTCATCCACAGCAAGTTACAAACTTTTTGTAAAGCAGAAGCATCAGCGGATGTCGGTTAGGATCATAGAATAAACAAGCTAATTGCATTGGAGGGCTTGGAGCTTTGTGCTTCTGAAGTCATGAATTGGGATGTGAAATAGCTTGTGAATAAGTGAAAACATGTACTAGTGAGTTGACAGCAACCATAATTTTACCGGTGGTCCATTCTGACATATTCTCCCTCTTTAGGGTGGATCGCAGTGCCTTTGATTGGCTGTGTCTGGATTTTTTGTGCACTTGAAAGTCAAAACTAACGTGTATGATGGTAGTTGATCTGTGGATAAGAATAGCAGCATTGGGTTATTATTCAACCATGTTGGAATTTTGTTTTGATGAAAATTGAATTTCTATATCAGGGTTCACGTTTACAGAATTAAATTCTGTACGTGCAAGTACCAGCAAGGTGGTCTGTTGCCACTTCTCATCAGATGGAAAGTTGCTTGCCAGTGGCGGCCATGATAGAAAGGTGAGACCGATTATTAGTTGTTCGATGAGTATAAAGGGTTTTGTAACCTATTGTTTTGAGGTTTTTCTGAAGCAGCTTTGCTAATTCTCAAAATTTTGATTTATTATTAATTTTTGTTCTCCATTTTTCGGCTATACAGGCTGTGCTGTGGTTTACAGATACTTTAAAGCCTAAAGCCACACTTGAAGAGCATTCATTACTCATTACTGACGTTCGTTTTAGTCCGAGCATGGCACGCCTTGCAACGTCTTCTTTTGATAAAACCGTCAGGGTTTGGGATGCAGATAATGTAAGGCACCTGACTCCTTTTTCTTCCCAGCAATCCTGGCTCTTCAGGATTGCTTTTGGCTTATTTATTCCTTCTCCTTGTTCGAAATGACTAGTGTTTGACTGACCAGTGTGCATTGTTTTAACTTTAAAAGTCTCTCTTTGCCTTTCCTTTTTAACTGATTGAAGTGTCATTTGTTGTCCTCGTTTAGTTAGATGTCTCTGTGTCAAGAGTTTTATCAACTATACTTTGTGTAGTCATTTGAATTGAAACTTTTCCTCGTTGACTTGTCAAAAGAAAACAGTGAGTATGTTATTCCACGTTGAACTTTTTATTTCCAAATAGAGTAGATAAGACAAGCTGCAAAATTTGAAGGTTGAACAGGTTACTGTTATAATTATTATTAGAGTTAATTTGGTGAAAAAGCAAATTGCGTTCCATTAAACCAGTCAAAATTGCGTTCCATTAAACCAGTCAAAATTGTAATGTACAATCTAATTCTTTACCTGTGTCTCTAACCATCTATGCATCATGATTCATATCTATACTTGTTCTATACAATCCACATCTCTGAAAGAAAAACTTTGTTCAGCCAGCAAGTTTTCTCATAGCAGGAGCTTGTCACAGGCTATTTGACTTTATACTTTGTCATTCCCACAATTTGCTCAGTGGTTCTTTTAATGTCTTTGGATATTCTCGTCTCTCTTACCCCTTGCGTGGTACACACATGCCACTGGCCTAACACAAAAGTTGTTACATTTCCTGATAGTTTTCAGATGCAGACAACTTTTCTTATAGTCAATAGATGTGTTTCTTGCATTCAACCAGCTCATCATTTGTAATAACTATCACAGAAGCAAACATTAGATCTAGAAATTGGATGAACATGCATTTCATCAGCCTGTTCGCATGAAGGACACAGAGGATTGACAAGACCTTTATTCATTTTGGCACCCTGTCCTTAGTCCCCAACCATCCCCTGCACGTTAATCTAGAAATGAACTATATTTTCCATGGTTGCGTGGCTCTCATTTTTTTCTTGATGTTCTTCTTTACTGTGGCTTTCTGCAGCAAGGATATTCCCTTCGAACATTTACTGGACATTCTTCTGGTGTAATGTCATTGGATTTCCATCCAAATAAAGATGACCTTATTTGCTCCTGCGACGGGGATGGTGAGATAAGATACTGGAGTATAACTAACGGAAGCTGTGCCAAAGTTTTCAAGGTAATAATCTGTATTTCAATGTGCTATTGTACACAACTTTTTATGGTTTCAGTGATGTTATGGTTGTTGCTTACATGCAAAAACAATGGACTTCCCCTTTCTGTATCAGGGGGGCACAGCGCAGGTTAGATTCCAACCTCGTCTTGGAAGATATCTTGCTGCGGCTGCTGAGAATGTTGTATCCATATTGGATGTGGATACACAGGTTTGTCGTCATTCATTGAAGGTAATGTGATTCTTCAATTGTATACTTCTATTTATGATGCTTATTGAGTGGGTCCTCTTAGCCACTTACGTAGATGCTAGTTCTACATGTCCCTGTTTTAGTTTAAGAAACGGAAGCATAAAATGTATAACTGCTGAAATACGCACAGATTCTGCATTTGCAAATAGTGCTGCTGTCTTGTATATTTGATGTAAATGTTGAGTGTGGAGTCACAATGTTTTGTTCACCTTTTTAATTTTAATTCCTGGTTTTCCTTTGGAGGTAATCTTAGTAAACCTGTCATGTATTTCGATTGTTGCTGCTACTAGCTATCTGTTGTTATTTGGTTTTACTGACCTCGCAGTGATGTCCTTTTATTTCAGGGTCATACAAAACCGATACACTCTCTTTGCTGGGATCCTACTGGTGAGCTCCTGGCATCTGTCAGTGAGGACTCTGTTAGGGTCTGGTCATTGGGTTCTGGGAGTGAAGGAGAATGTGTGCATGAGCTTAGCTGCAATGGCAATAAATTTCATTCATGTGTTTTCCATCCTACGTACAACTCATTGTTAGTCATTGGATGTTACCAGGCAAGTCGTGTTCTTACCGATATGCATTCATTTGCAACAGTATATTGATATCTTCTCATGATTATTAGTTTAGTCATGAATATTAACTAGCTACTGCACTTTAGTCTCTGGAGCTTTGGAACATGACGGAGAACAAAACAATGACCCTGGCGGCACATGGAGGGTTGATCGCTTCTTTGGCTGTTTCATCTGTAGCAGGCTTGGTTGCTTCAGCCGGTCACGATAATATTGTCAAACTCTGGAAATGATGCTGGCTTTTGTGCTTGTGTACCATTTATGCTTGCCATGCATGTTTGAGAAGTAGTTAAAATGCAGGGGTGTTCTAACTTTTCAGTGTTGTGTAATTCTTTTCCCCTTGTTCCAAGGACTTAGCTCTATGTAACATCTGTAGTAGTGCTGAGAGCTAACCCAGTAGTGTTTTTTTCTTCATAGTGTGTTATGACTGAAGAAGAATTAGCTCCTATTTTGTCGAAGCTTCTAACTTATTTGTCAATTGAGGGGATTTTTCTTTCCTCTTTTTTTTTTTTTCTGCAGCACATGATGTTGAACTTTAACGTTGTTCTGGTTAGGTTCCCCTTCTCAATCAAAATGCTTCCTTCATGGAAAAGAGTCCCTGCCAAATGGAAGATACCCTGTAACCTCATCTTTGAGCGCGAATAAACTGGCAGGCTTTCGACTCTTTTTCCAACCTCAACTTGAACTAGGTCTGATCATGTCTGTCTTAAAGGGGTTGAAAGCGCCGGTCACTAAGCAATTTTAAGATGATTTGGCTAAATTCTAGCATTGCAAATTCTTAAACAAGTTTGACAATTGAGGATTGCTTCCTGTTGAAAGACTAGTCCGGGAAGCTTCAGTTGCAAATGAAAAGCCAAGAGTGTATGAAACATCTGTCTGATACTACAAAGCATGTTTACAAGGATTGGAGGAACGGAAGATACCATGGATGAGAAACTGACAAGAGGTTAAGAGTCAAAGCTGAAATCGTGCTCTGCTCAGTTCAGTTCAGTTCAGTTTCAGTTTCAGAAACCAAGCTGACCCAATTGAACCGATCTCTGAGACATGGAATATTCTGTGAGCCTGTGAAATTATCTGCCAAAGGTTTCGAGCAATGTTTTCAAAATCGGGATTTCACATAGGATTGTTTTGGCGTCTCAAGATCGGATTCTGGATCAGTGGGATCGGATCGGTGGGATTAAAACCATTTAAAATATTATAATAAGTGTCTTCAACTCAAAATTGTAACTTTTATATCTTTTCTAATCATTTCCTCCTCTTTTTTATACGAAATCAACAATTTGTACAAGTATCGACAAAATTAATGGGATCGCTGGATCGTAGGATCTTACGATTTGGATGGAGATTTTGAAGTATTTTATAAGATCCCACTACAAAGAAGGATTCCATAAGATCCAGAATCGATTTTCTAATTTCGGATCGCAGGATCGTTAGATTCTAAGATCCGGATCGGAATTTTAAAAACATGCTAAATAATGCTCTACTGTTGGAACAAGGTCAGCTGAAAGCCTAAACGGAGATTGTTGACCCCTACGATATGCAATATAAGTCTATTGTCCCGAAGTCTCAATTTAAACATATTTTATCCGTTCTAATATTTTTGTCTAATTTGAATTTTAGGTACAATATATACTTAATATGAAAATTCAAACATAATAGTTATATGGTTAGCCAGGAACAAGCCATTCATGTACAAGTTTCGGTAAAGCGAGGAAAGACAATTTGCATTCAACAAAGGAGGATTTCAGTAATTAAGCACAAGTGTCCTTACACTCGCATATAACATTGTTCATTGGAAGTGACTAGCTTATTTCAAGACATTAATATATTAATAATTAGTGGAAGAGGCACATAACGTTAGGAAAACGAACTTTGGCGTCAACCTTTGCCCTGTAATATTTTTCTTTTCTTTTTCTATTGATATTTTAATATTTTGAGGGCTGTGTGTATATGTGTTCTTGAAATGTATATTTTCTAATTAAAAACACACACAAAAGAAAAATCACTAATAATTCTCTAAAATCGTCCCGATTTGTTTGCTTCTTTTTTCTTTTCACTATTTTTTTTAGAATAATATAATAATAACTGTCTCATCTAGAGTGTGCATGAATTGGTTCATACTGGCCAAACCGGTCAATTCAAACTGTAGTTTGATTTTTGGATCAATTTCAAAACTTTCTTTTGAAACCCAGCGGTTTCAAAATTTAAAAACCGGAAAGAACGGTTTGGTTCATGGTTTTATGTTTAATATTTGTTGGCTAAACTGAATCGGACCGTTTTATTTTTATTTTTTAAACAATTGGATGGCCCTAGTGAGAATCGAATCCTCGACCTCCCGATAATAACCATCCCTATCTTAATCTCCTAACCACTCCACCCAATCCAACCCTCCCACCCTTAAAACTGGACCGTTTATACTACTTATTATTATATGTATTAGAATTTCCATATATCTAGAAAATAGAAATGTGTTGTATTAGTTAGAAGTTGTGTAGACTTGGTTAATTCACATCATGCTTAGCCATACCTCCCAGTTTTGATTCCCTTAAACCTCTCTTATTGGGTTGTTTTTCTTACCTTCTTTTTATATTTTTCTTTTGAATTTTAAAAACTCTCCTCCTGTGTTTCTCTCCTTTTTTCTGCAATATTTTTTTTTTGTTGCCTCTCAAAACTTTTTCTCGCAATTTTTTCCTTTCCCTTTTTTAAAAAATATTTTTGTTTTAAGATTCAAAAGTTAAAGCGTAATCATTGGAATTCCTGTTTCTTAAACTATAAAACCAAAACCTACCTAAATTAACTAAAAATTCTAAGTGATTCAAAGTTATCGACCGTTAGTTTTTGCATGTATTAAATTGAAATTAGTAAAATAGTCTATGTTTTGGTCCATGTTTTGGTCAATAAAAAAAAAGGAAAAGGTCAAAGTGAGAACAAAACTGTGAAACTGTAAAAACCAAATCGTTGATTACAAAATGGTTTGGTCCAATTTCTAAATGCAAACCGGTTTAGTTTTAGATTTAAAATTTTTCAAACAGTTCTAACGGTTTGATTTACAGTTTAGACTAAAAATTGGACCACCCAGATCGTGCACACCCCTAGTCCCATCCCAACATACCTTTTTATATTTACAATATAAAAAACACATAAAAACACACACTTAAAAAAGGAAACAAACATAAACTTTTTCATCGTATTGGTCTTTATTTGCTGTTTCGAAACTGGTATCCAGAGGTTTAGACTTTGACAATTGATACATTAAGCCTTAGTACTTGGAAAAGTTGAAATCGCGCTCACTTTAGAAAAAGTTCGACCATTGGCGTTTTAACTCTTTATGTCCTAAAAAAATAATTCACATCAAATTTTATAAATTTGTATTAAAACAATACAAGTATCAAAACTCAATCTGGACAATTCTTTTTAGGGTAGAGGAAGTATCAAACTATTACTTGATTACTAAACACTACACTTGACGCTTCAAAAGTGAAATCAGAAGTGAGTTTCAAGATGATAGGTAACATCTAAACTTAAAATCATGTTTTCTTTTTAATCATGCACTCTGTGATATTAGAGAACAAATGACAATGGCTTTCATGAATGAATGACGGATACCATGTTGATAGTGAGAATGTAACAAACGAAAGCGGCAAGAATACACAACAATAACGATGATTCAATAGTTGAAATATGGAACTAGTTAACAGTGATATTAGAACACTAGTGATGAGAAAAAAGTAAAAGAAAATTGAACATCCGTAAACAATAAATTTTAAATTACATTTTGGCCCTTCACTAGCCTCTTTTGTCACTCACCACCACAACCTCTGCGCACATGGTAACAACTCCCAACGGCACATTCTCTTCCCTTTTTCCTTCCCAAAAATTCAATCTTTGTTTATTTGACAAAAATCATCTCGATCTTCCCCTTCTCGTATATATACAAACACCTACACCCTTCTACTATCCCTACGCTTATCTACATTTATCCCACTCTAAAACCCTAGACTTTCAATTTGGAAATCAAAATTTGCCCCAAATTTTCACAATTTGGTTGAAAAAAAGCCCTTAATTTCGAGTCCAATTGAAGCTGGAATTCAAATCCCTTTATCCTTTTCTCCGATTAGGGTGTTTTGAAATGGTTGAGATTTGTAATGGATGCAGATAAAGTGGTTGTGATTGATAATGGCGGTGGAAACAGCAATAATGGGATCTCGGGTGGCAACGACAGCCTCCCACCTAAACCACTCGGTGGCGTTTACCGCCAGAGCTTGAGCACGGGACAGACGCCCACCGCCGCTTCTTGTAAGAAGTCCCTGGCTCGACATCCTTCACTGGTAAATATACAAATAGAAAATTTCCGTTTTGAATTTTACTTTTTTTTTTTTTTGGGGATATGAAATTGAGTGTAGCTTCCTCTGCATGTTATAAAAATTCAATCTTTCTTTCTTTACATACTGAATTGTGATTGTTACAGCAACATTTTTAGCCTTTAGCTTGTGCTTATGCTTTTGATTAGCAATTATAATTACAAATTGTGATTTCCCTTTTTGGGATTTTGATGGTTGTGCCTTCATATGCAAGTGCTGTTATTACTGGTTGATGAACTGGGGAGAAATTAGATTTTGTTGTGCCTATGTAGCGTGGATTTTGCTTTTGGAAGTATTTTAGAGGATGATAAAAGATTCCCTCCTTTTGTTTGTTTGTTTGTTTTTGTTTTTTTGTGTTATTTGTTTCATTTCCTTTTAGTTTTGTGAAAATTGTTGGTTTGGAGGGAGGTGACTTGATTGAGAAACCACTCTAATTCATTTAGGGATTAAATTATGATTCTGAAGAGGAAAGAAAAAGCTCTGCAATTATCCAGCTGTTAAGATTGTCATGTCATGTCACTTTTCCTATGTGAAAATGGAGCCTTGTGAACTTACCTTATCAGCTTTTCAATATATATTTCAGTTCCCTATTGTGTTGGGGAGTTTCTTCAGCCTTGGTTTTAGGATATCAGGTTGCAGCTCTCTGGTTCTTTTCCTCATCTAGAATTGAATGTGTTTGAATGTGCTCGGTTGTTTTAACACATTCTATGACTGATGATAGGTCGCTCGTACGAGCTATCAATGTTCTTACTGATACTTTTTACACTCCTTTAGCACATGCTACTAGGTCGTCTGTAGTTGAACTTGTTATCTGATTGACTTAAATTGTAGATTTGGTGGTTGCTATTTTTGGTGTAAGACTGCACTTTTGGTTTTGTTCTGAGTTATTCCCCCTTTTTTCAAGAAAAGAAAAAAGATTTTCTTTGGTTTTTAATGGAATTTTTGCAGGTGAAGACCAAGCCCTTGGATATACCCGTAGAAAGACTGAACATAAATGATTGTGAGACGGTATTTTCCCCAAGTCTTCGCTCAGGAGCATGGGCAGATATTGGTGGTCGCTCGGCAATGGAGGATGTATTTGTTTGTGCTGATGATTTTGTGAATCATTATGGTTTAAAAAGTTCTGTTGAAGGGCCTAGTGCTTTCTATGGGGTAGGTTACGTCCTTACACTTTGCCAGGATATATGTCATTCGTGATTAATAGCTTGAAATTTTTAATTGGTCCATATCTGAATACAAGAATGTTGATGATGTATATAAGCATTTCTTGGTGATAAGAAACTTTTAAATTTTTAACTTGCCCGCACAATGATTCGATAGACCATGATTATGACATATGATTCCTATTGTTGAAATCGCATTGTGGGATTGTTATTTTCTTGTAACCTAAGCAATGATCTGCATTGGGATGTCTTTTCATGTCAAAGATTTGGATGATCCGATGATTGAATGTGGTGTAATATTGCAATATGCAAAACCTTTCTATATGCTCCTTGGTTGATGAACTCTTGATAGTAGTATTATTATTCGCTAGCTATACAAGAAAACTATTTTGATTCAGGTAGTTGAGTTTTCTTAAACTGATTTAGAAGCTCTTCTACCCAATCTGTTTGCAATTTGATTTCTGGATGTTGAGTACTGAACTTCAGATCCCAGGTTTTTGATGGTGAATTCAACTTTTTGCTACATGTCTTTGTGGTACAAATGTATCAGAAAGGTCTCTGTGTGGTTGTATGTCAAAACAGATTGCATTTTTTTTTTTTGCTTTTTTTTTGCATTCTATTGGGTTGCTGTTGTAATATTATTGTGTTGGTTTGGTGTAGGTTTTTGATGGTCATGGAGGAAAGCATGCAGCTGATTTTGCAGGACATCATTTGCCAAGATTCATTGCGGAGGATGAAGGCTTTCCTGAGGAAATTGAGAGGGCTATTTCGTCTGCATTTCTGCAAACTGATACTGCTTTTGCAGAAGCTTGCACCTTGGATAACGATCTTGCCTCTGGTACAACTGCTTTGGCAGCTCTTGTTATTGGGAGGTTAGAGTTCATGTAAATTGATCACTTTACAGAGCTTTGTAGGATAACAAGGCCTGAAAATTTGAAGGCTGTTTAACTTTCAGGTTGGTTCTTTTTTTTTTTTTCCCTCACAACTGTTTTAACTGATCCATTTGGTTTGTTCATTGGATTCAGGTCCTTGGTCGTAGCTAATGCTGGAGATTGTAGAGCAGTTCTTTGTCGACGGGGTAAAGCAATTGAGATGTCAAGAGACCACAAACCTTGTTGCTTCACTGAGAAAAAAAGAATAGAAGCTTCTGGAGGATATGTGTTTGATGGTTACCTTAATGGACAGCTAAATGTTGCACGTGCTCTGGGAGACTGGCACATGGAAGGTTTGAAACATGGCGATGGTGGCCCTCTTAGTGCGGAGCCTGAACTTATGTCCACTAGACTTACAGAAGAGGATGAGTTTCTTATCATTGGGTGCGACGGGATATGGGATGTGTTTATGAGTCAAAATGCAGTTGACTTTGCTCGTAGAAAGCTTCAGGAGCACAATGATCCTGAGATGTGCTGCAAGGACTTGGTTGAGGAAGCTTTGAAGAGGAGAAGTGGAGATAATTTATCTGTAGTTGTGGTGTGTTTCCAGCCACAGCCACCGCCTAACTTGATTGTTCCAAGAGGGCGAGTCCATAGGAGCATCTCTGCCGAAGGTCTCAAGGAGTTGCAAGGCTTCTTGGATAGATTGGCTGAATGATGGTCACAGTTTTCCAGCCTTTTCTTTTACCCTCCCCCCCTTCCCCTGGTTCCATAATTTTGTTGCTTAGGAAGTGATATTGGCTTTATTTCCTCTCTTTTTCTTCCTTTGTTTGTGATTTAGATTTAATTTATTGTATCTCTTAGGTGATTCGGAGAGGAATGTATTGTCCAATTGTAACATATGCGGCGGCCACACATTTTTGTTGCTTAGGTAAACCTTATATTTTGAGTAGGTAGGTCAACTTCAAGCATGGTTTCTGTATTTCCCCTGGTTACGTTTGATTTTTGTAGCAGCGATGTCCCCCCTTTACCCCTATACGTTGCAAGTCTGAAGTTTGCAAGTTCAGTTGGTTTTAGACTTGAAGATGATCATGAAAAGGCTTCAAATTTTGAGCAAGTTTTGATCGGGCCGAAAGAGTTTTTCTCAATGGGAAGTCTGAAAGAATCCTCTGTTATCATATTTGAAAGGTAACAGGCAGAGGTAGAACATATTTCTGTCATCAGCCTGGGTAAGTACATGATAAATACTGCAGAACAAAGAGGGGAATCAACTATACTTCTTCAAAATTAACACCAGTTCTCCTGTATTGACAGTTGGATAGATCATATGAGGCTGTTCTGTTCTGAATTGTTAGAAAGATCTGATCTATGGCGGTAGCAGTTCACCAAAGATCGTCCCGGGTGCCACCTTCAAAACCGATTACATGAGATATTTAGAAGTCCTGAAAATCATCATCTAAAGTATAGGAGCAAAAACTCCCGAGTCTTCATTCAAACTCATCTTCATCAATTAAAAAGACTGATCATCATCACCTGCTTTAATATATAGAAATACAGAATCCTGAGCTCAAGCTAACGAATTCCAAGTTAAGAAAAAGATAAATGAAAGATAGCCGCTGTCCGAGGACAACGCAAACATGTCAAACTCAAATTGGATGAGTTCTCGAATTTCTCTTCGCCAACAATCCTTTCAAAAGTTGTATTGCGAAATCCGGAACCATCAACTGAAAGTGAAAATTCAACGGCTTTCTTCATCTTCTCAATCCAACCAACAGAAATCCGTGGCTCATCATCCAATCCTCCCACGGACACCATCTTTACTTGAACCAGAAATTTTAGAGACATCCATAAGGTTATTTTTCTGATTTGAAAAGCTTCCAAGGTTTGTGATAGCTGAACAGAGTTGAAGGTTCGGACATAAATCTCTGCAGCAAAAACGGAGTCTATATAGGCTTGGATCCAACAGCAAGTTCGGAGACCTTACCCATCATACCCTACCAAAGCTGAACCGGGAGATCGAACAGATCTTACATCTGGACAAGCTTTTTATGGCTGATAAAATGAAAATATATATTTTTTTTCTTAATGAATCTGAACTTGAGGAATTCATCAAATGTGGGGTTATCAAAGATGGTTGAAAGGGCGAAATTCAGATTTTGTTAGGAGAAAAGTGGATTTAGCGTGAAAAAAGCAAACTCACAATTTTACACTCGCAAACTGTTCAAAACACTGGTAGAAAATTCATACGCGGCACGAAACGGCTACTAAAAAACGAATCTCTCTTTTACTGTTATTAGGCTTTTTAGGGCAAAGTTCAACGAGTTTTGAGTCTTCTCTCAAATAAAAATGGGCCTTGGGTACGCACTAACTTGGCCCTTCCTTTAATGGACTTAAGTCCAAAAACTTTCAAGGTTGCACTTCTTTTCAATACTCCTCTGTCCCAAAATTATTGTCCAGTTTAAAATTTCACTTTTAGTACAATTTGAACTAGAAATGAAAGCTCAAACTGGACAATAATTATGGGACGGAGGGAGTACTTTCTTTCTTTACTCGGATGGGATCAGCTTGACAGCTCCACAAAGCTACATTTGATCTCGAAGTTTTTTTAGTAAGAAAAAAAATTGATTGGCTAGTTAGTATATTTAGTACACTCTCCGTTTCAAAATTATTATCCTATTTGAATTTTTATTTTTAATATAAATTAAACTAAAAGTGAAAATACAAATTAAACAATAATTTTGGGAGAGAAGGAGTAACAAGAATGCTAGTAATACATGTCAATTTTTGCCGTTCAACTATAGTTTCTAAGTCATTGCTTAAGGAAACAAAAATACAATCTTACGGGATGCTGAGAAGCATGCTTTAATGTCAATATTGGGTGTATAACTGTTACGGGAGCAGAACCGTGGGGTCTGTATCACGGTCTAAAGCTTGAGTGGGATAATGGTGAGAAGCAGATCATGGTGGAGATGGACAGTAGAGCTGCAGTGCACATGGTGACAGGATGTAGAGTTGGTATCAGACAACATGAAAGGTTAATAGCAGAGATCAGGGAGCTGTTATTTCGCAATTGGAGAGTGCTAATCCGTCATATTTTTAGAGAAGCCAATTGCTCGGCTGGTTGTTTAGCTGGATTGAAGGAGCCGACCTTTTGGGGAGTCTGTAGATTACAGGAGCCACCGCTGGAAGTTCAGCCATGGCTTTGGCATGATCAAGTAGGGGTGCCATACCCCAGGAACGTAACCCTTTCTTAGGCGTATAGCCTCATTCCCTGTACTAAAAAAAAAAAAACACTTTCTTAGAATTTCCAACTCCAGATATATATACCTTTGGCTTTACTTAACTCTCTTTTCAATACCCGTTTTTGTAATTTACCTTATCGTCCGATTGTAGACACCGGCCACGCATTTGTTTTTGCTTAGCTTAAACCTCAAATGCATACTATAAGTTGCAGCTAGGTCAACTTCACGCATGCATGGTTCCCCTTTTAAGTTGGAGGCTTTGACGGCAATTAAACTAAACTCGGATGTTCATCTTGATCTTGAAATGGCCACTAGGAAGGTTCGAGTTCAGGGTTTGATCGAGCTGAAAGAGTTGTTTTTGTTGGGTTGCATATAAGTGACGATGCCTGGAATTGCGCCTCGAGCCTTGTAGTGAACTCCGATTTGGGTTTCCTGTAAAAACAGAGCCTAGGGGCCTCCCGAGGGTAGACGTTCCGAAGCTTAAGTCAGAAAATAGGGTTGTGAAATAGTGCGTATATGTGAATTGGTGCTAGAGATTGCGTACCTAAATTGTGGAGTAATCATCCCTATTTATAGGCCTTAGAAGTATCCGAATATTACTAGGTTTAGTAATATTAAACCGCCGACTTCATAGTCGGTTAGACCTTGGACGGGATGATTGGGCTGATCCATATCTAGGGGTGGATATGGACTCGTCAAGTGCCCTGTCAAGTATTGGTTATAAGAGATAAACAAAACTTGACACAAGATAATTCTAACCTGGACTCGGCCCAAGTTAATTGAACAAGCGTTGGCCCATGACACATCTAACAGGCCTGATAATCTAGTTCGCGGGTCAGGATTCAACCCCGAAGATGATCTGATCCGGAATCCCGCTAAAAAAATTTGACCGCGCGTAGTAAGTGGGCACGTTCTCCCAAACAACGGCTCCGTCATCATTACTCTTCCTTGAACTCCGTCCCAACTGCCGAGACGTGGGAGAGAGAAGTTTTTTTTTTTTTTTGTTCTTATATTGGGAAAAGTCCAAAGACTCTTGCCATTAACCTCTTTTCAAATTCCAGTTCTGAAAGTACGAAGCCTTCTGCCCCTACGTATCATCCACTGCCGCTCCAGACAAAACCCTTCATTATCGCCGGAGATTCCGGTAACTACCGTTAACAGAAGAGATTTGTCGAGATTCGCCGCATTGGGTAAATAGAATCCAGAAGGACATCTCCAAATTCTGATAGAAGTAAGTCCTCCAACTCTCTTGTATTTTTAGAACCTACCTTTCTTTTGCCTGAATTTTGTTATATCTACATATATTGTTGTAGATATGGCTGCCCAAACAGTTTCCGACTTCGCATCCACTATAAACTCTGCCGATAAAGCCCAGGCAATAGCCGAAAGGTACGATTTTCCAATAGATCTGGAATATCGAGCACTTTTAGGCACATAAAGGGCTACTACTCCTCCAGAGGAGAAAATAACTGTATATGACAGGTTTATGTTCTTAGGGCAAAGATTCCCCCTTTACCCTCTGTTTGGAGATATAGTTCAATACTACCAAATTCTCCTTGCTCGATTTACACCAAACTTGATATCGGTTGTTCTCGGATTTGCAAGGCTCTGCGAGTTGAAGAAGGTTGAACATCGATTACTCATGTGGAGGTATTTTTTCAAAGTCTTTGTCCCCTCGACGAAATACAAGGACTAGTATAACGTCAAGAGGAATTCCAAGTCGGGTGCGAAGCAGATAATAGAACTCTTTGATGGTTCTCCAGTGTGGAAACTAAATTATTTGTTTGTACAGGCTCCAGAGGATTTTCATGTGACCTAGGATCATCGTGAATCCCAGGAGATGGGCGTTATAGCTGATGTCTAGTCTAAATCTGACAAGTCCAGGATCGAGCAATATAGGGATGACATTACTGCTCTGGAATCCTTCAAAAATTATCTCAATTGGACAAAAGTGTAGCAGTACATTCCCCCAATTCCTGTTAAGGTTAAAAAAGGTACTAACTCCTCTTGTGTATTCCTTTTGTTCTAGGCTATGTCGTCAAGCAAGAACACTGTTGGCTTGTTTGGTGACTCCAAGATTTTTGACATTAAAAAGTCAGATGATGAAGGATCTTCAAGCAAAGTCAGCAAGTGAGGAAGTTGAGGAGACTAGTGAAAGTGTCAAAAGCAGGCGCTAAGTTGAAAAAGAAGAAGCAGACTCCTCCCGTCGAGAAAGAAGGGCCGGTCGAGGAAGTTGAACCCGTCGAAGAAGTCAGGACACTCGAGGAGGACAAACCTGTCGAGGAGGACAATCCCATCAAGGGCAATCCCATCAAGGGCAATGTCCCTCCAGAGAAAGATGGGATTCCGGAAGCAGAACGAGACCCAAGTTGGTTTACAACAGTTTCACCTTCGCTGTCTCGGAAGAAGGGCACTGCTGAGAATCTGGACGCCTCTCCAGGGTCATCATCATACACTGCAGCCGTCGCCATATTCCATTTTGGGGATGACAAAATTGATGCCCCATAATAGAAGAGGTAGCCGAAACGATGACTGATGAAGAAGCTTTAAAAATGGTAAGTGTTACCAACACAGATGTTTTCCGCATTTACTGCTTGTAACTAGCATTTCAATTTATGCTGATCTCTTGCTTACAATCTTGACAGCTAACCACCTCCTTTGCAAGCATCCTTATGCGCAAAAAAAAGCTAATGGAGGAGATCTCCAGTTTGGAGCTCGAGAAGGGGTTCCTCGAGCATGAGAAAGCTATCCACGAGGAAGCAAAGAAGAAGGAGCAGTCAATTCGGTCTGCCAAGGAGGAAGAGCTAGCCACTGCCCAGGCTATGTATAAGGAGGTCGAGGCCAAGCTGAAAGAATATGGGGAAACCCATATTCCCAAAACGGAATTGCAGAAATGGATGACTGCACTTTGGGCCAGAGTGATGCCTACTGGAGGAATGGCTAACGTCATGGTAGGCATCAGTGAGGCAGCTATTGCATTGGGTGGCCATGGCGTGGCTATTGCTGCTCTCGAAAGAATAGAATCGGGAAAGTTTGTCAATGCTGGCTGGCTGTAACAATTCGTGAAGCCTCATCCTCGAAAAACCTCGCATGAAGCAATGAAGAATGGATTGTTGCATCTTTCCACTGAACAGCTCCCTTTGTTTGAGCCCTTATGCAGTTGGTGCTACTCAGAAATCACCGCCTTTGAGGGAGATGCCCCAACGGTGCTACTCACTGAGCCTGGGGAAGAGATGCAGGTACTAGAGCTTGGCTGAGATATTATTGGTGTCGAGCTGGTTTCTGATGAAGATTCCTCACAGAGAGTTGAGGAAGATGAAGAGGAGGAGCGAGAGCCTGAAGTCGAGAAGGATCCGGCAGGCGAGAAAGAGGTTTCATCGACTCAGAATCCTGTAGAGGAAACCAGTGAGAGCCAACCAAATGTCCTGCCCAACCCAAATACTGTATGAGCCCCTATCCTGTAACAGGGTTTTTGCTACTTGGGTTGTAGACCTTAGCCTTCTGTAGTGGTTGTTGAATGAATTTTATCAATTTGGAATTTATAGAATACCTTTTCCTCCTTTCCTCTCTTTGTTTTTAATGTATCCTTGCTGATTATGTCAGGAACCATATTACGTCCATAACGTGCACCTGATGATTCTTGAGGAAGACGAGATCAAACATTTCCCTATGTATGCCATGATTTCATCAGCATTGAGAAAATTCGGGAATGTTCACAACACTGCTATAGTGTGAGCTCTCAAGAAAGAGATTGTGGATGCTGTTCAAGCGTATAACGTGCAGATACATTCTCGCTTGGTTCAACGTTTTAAGCAAAAAGAGGAGTGGAGATGTTGACTCCATCAATACGATCTCGACTTCCAAGATTCCCTGATTCTAGAGGCGAATATCCACGACGAGATGAAAAAGCTGAAGGATGAAAATGCTCGACTGAGGAAGCGTGAGAAGATAGCGATATCTCCATGGTTCCTCG